GTGACCCTCGAAAACAAGGGGTAGGGGTAGAAATAAGAAATGGGATCGGGCCTTAGTCTTCTTCTATGTGTGTTTTTTCTGAACTTCATTCTTAATAAAACAGTAATGAAAAATCACCATTCTTCAAATAACTTCTTAGGAATTCTGAGATTTCTCTGAACAGTTTTCTTAAGAATAAAGTTTTCTTAACCTTTTCTAAACAGTCTCACACTCGTCTCAGGCTGTGGGAGTTGGCAAGGTGAGCATCTAAATTTATCAAACTTGGCACCGCCTCTGCAGCTCCTCATCCTCGTCTCCTGCTTTCCACCGTCACTCTTCAAGTATCGTATCTTCCAATGAGGATTTTTTTTTCCTGTTGGCTGTTTCTTCCACCATCACCTCTCGTTCTTGTTTGCTAATTTTTTAAAATTGGTTTTGATGTTTTTCTTCCATTTTGCTCCTCTGAGTGGATTAACCTAAATAATTTGCTAAAATAACAATTAAAACAAATTCAGAATGTATCTTGTGTTGTAAAATGCAACACAGCCTACCTATGAAAACAATGACAATGTTTTAAAGAAAATCTTAAGGCAATAATTAAGATTATCTTAAGAGAATATTTGAGAACTTTTTACTTTTTTTTCAAGAATTGCATTTGAGAACATTCTTATGAAGTTCTTAGTGTTTGTCTTAAGAACCTTTGCTAGTTTTTTCTTAATAAAGCTTTCGTGAATCCAGGTGACCTGGACCTTCTTGTGTTATTGTGGTAAAATCATCTGTGAATTCTGACAGCAATCGGACAGATGTTTCTCCAAATTCAACTGTTTTTACACAATAAAAAACATTTTTCATTGTAATTGTTTTTAATTACTGAGTTGTGTGTTTTATGTGACAGAATTCACTCCTATATTAATCTAATCTCCTCTAGGTGTGTGTAATATAGCAGCGTTTAGAAGCAGATAAACAGCTCAGAGTGAGAGTTAGCCAGGCTAAAGATCAGCATCCTCACCGTGGGGTAGGTTTAATATGCTGTATAAATAAGTATTCCAAGGTAAACAGTGACAGCAGTCATATAAATAAAAAACAATTTATTTATTGGAACTTTTTATTTGTCAAAAATATACAATGATGCCATGCAAATAAAATGCCTCAGTTTTATTATGTTATTTTCTGTTCTGCTTTGTTCATAAATGAATTTGTCAGTGTTTGACAGAGCCTCTTTTCACTAATCATATTTATTTGGCACAGAAGTATTTTATGTTTTAGATTGGAAAGCTTTTCTCATTCAAACGACATAGAATTGTACTGAATGAATGTTGTTTTGCAGTGATTTACCAGACATTTGTAGTGAATGTTAAAACTCACCTCCCAATCTGTTACAATGAACACCGCAAATAGGTGAGTTGTAAATTTGCTGACTCATCACGTTTAGCTGAATTTTTCATAAATGATAATAGATGATAGTTTTTAGTAGAAATTGTTTGTAGACAAATTATGGCTGGCCTGAACAGCATTTTACAGACTTTGAATACCTATTGGTGAATCTGTATGAGTACTCCAATACTTGTTCTCAATACCACCTTAAAAACAATAATATTTACATTTCAAATATTTCAGTCTTTAATTTGTAACAAACACATTTATATATTCCTTTTTATGATGGATGCCCCAAAGAGGCTGAGAGTCAGATGTGCTGTAATGTTATGTCAGATGAGGAGACAGATGTGCTGTAACTATTTCTGATGAAACAGATGTGCTGTAATATGTCAGATGAGGATACAGATATGCTGTAACTGTCTGATAAGGAGACAGATGTGCTACAACGTTATGTCAGAGAAGGGGACAGATGTGTGGCAAAATTATGTCAGATAAGGAGACAGCTGTGCTGTAAAGTTATATCAGATGAGGAGACAGATGTGCTGTAATCTTTTGTCAGAAAAGGAGACAGATGTGCTACAATATTATTTCAGATAAGGAGACAGATGTGCTACAACGTTATGTCAGAGAAGGAGGCAGATGTGCTGTAACTATGTCTGATGAAACAGATGTGCTGTAATATGTCAGATGAGGAGACAGATGTGCTGTAACTGTCAGATAAGGAGACAGATGTGCTGTATTGTCTCAGATACAGAGACAAATATGCTGCAATGTTATGTCTGATAAGGAGACAGATGTGCTGTAATGTTATGTGAGTCAGATAATAAGACAGATGTGCTGCAACTATGTCAGATAAAGAGACAGATGTGCTGGAAGGTTGTCAGATAAGGAGACAGATGTGCTGGAATGTTGTCAGATAAGAACACAGATGTGCTGTAACATGATGTCAGATAAGGAGACAGATGTGTTGCAACATTATGTCAGATAAGGAGACAGATGTGCTGTAACGTTACATCAGATGAGGAGACAGATGTGCTGTAATCTTATGTCAGACAATGAGACAGATGAGTCCCCATGGATTTCTGCTGACCCAAGTAGCAGCGATAATACAGATGTGCAAGATGTGATCTTTTAAAATCTTTGTGACGTGTTTAGCAGAATTACTGAATAATGCCAAGTGTATATTCCACTGATGACTCCAAGTTCAATTCCAATTAGTATTCAGCTAAATCAATTAGCTATTCTACTATCTGTTTGTCTCCATCCCCCTATCAGTGGTGCCCGGGGAGCAGTTGGGGGTTAGATGTCTTGCTCAAGGGCACCTCAGTCACGTACTGTCGGCTCAGGGGATCGAACGGGCGCCCTTCTGGTCACAGGGCTGGTTCCCTAACCTCCAGCCCACGACTGCCTCAAAAGAACCTCCATGCCAAAACCTGGGATCGAACCAGTGACCTTTAGATCTTCAGTCCAACGCTCTCCCAACTGAGCTAATTCTTATTTGCAATAGCAATAAATGAGCCAAGTCTAGAGCTCTTTTGGGTCTAAAGGGTTAATAAAAGACAAAGTTTCAGAATACTATGTAAGAAATTATCCAGGCTATCCCTCATAAAAATATTAACCTTGCAAAAATATTTGTAAAATGACCAGAAACCAAAATGTGTTAGACTGCGATCCCCTCTAACATTGCTAGCATCACAAGATGATAAGATGCAAAGGTGATTATTTCACTGTCTGTAACATTTCCGTTAGTGATGAAGATGCAGATGCAGTATATCTGTACGTCCTGGTCTCTCTGGGCGACACTATTAAAGTTAACTGTTTAATAAGCAATCACCATTATAGCTAATGGCAGAGGAGGGAAACAGCTGTCTCTCAGCAGTACCTTTACAGTATCTGATTAGCCAACCGCTAGGAGAATTATTAGCTTTCTGTCCTCAGACATCACCACTGACATAAATCAGACGTCCCTCAGCTCATTAACGGTCATGCTTATCAGCCATCAAGGTTTCTCTTCTCTTCCTCACCATTACTAATGGGGTGATAGATTATGGTGCTGCGAGACTTTGAGAGACAGCTAGCAGACTCATTCAGGTGTAGTCAGGTGAGGCGCGAGATATTTAACAGAAAATTACACCAAATCTTTAACAGCTAAATGTTATATCTGATATTTCAGTATTTAGCGTGTCCACACTTTACGTTTATTACAGCTTCCAGTCTTTTCAGGAGGCTCACTTTCAGTTAATCACAGCCTGAGTATCTAAACCTGCATTAATCACAGTCTGTGTATCTAAACCTGGAATAATCACAGTCTGTGTATCTAAACCTGCATTAATCACAGTCTGTGTATCTAAACCTGCATTAATCACAGCCTGAGTATCTAAACCTGTAATAAACACAGTCTAAGTATCTAAACCTGCATTAATCACAGTCTGTGTATCTAAACCTGCATTAATCACAGTCTGTGTATCTAAACCTGCATTAATCACAGCCTGAGTATCTAAACCTGGAATAAACACAGTCTAAGTATCTAAACTTGGATTACAGACAGTCTAAGTATCTAAACTTGGATTAATCAAAGTCTAGGTATCTAAAACTGGATTAATCACAGCTTGAATATCTAAACTTGACTAATCACAACCCGAGTATCTAAACCTGATTAATCACAGCCTGAGTATCTAAACCTGGATTAATCACAATTTGGGTATCTAAACCAGGATTAATCACAGTCTGTGTATGTAAACCTGGATTAATCACAGTTTGGGTATCTAAACCTGGATTACCGACAGTCTAAGTATCTAAACGTGGATTAATCACAGTTTGGGTATCTAAACCTGGATCAATTATAGTCTGGGTATCTAAACCAGGATTAATCACAGTCTGTGTATGTAAACCTGGATTAATCACAGTTTGGGTATCTAAACCTGGATTACCGACAGTCTAAGTATCTAAACCTGGATTGATCACAGTCTGAGTATCTAAACTTGGATTAATCAAAGTCTAGGTATCTAAAACTGGATTAATCGCAGCTTGAATATATAACATATAATACAATTGGAATCACTGTTTCTTTTAAAGTAATTTTATTTTTACAGGTACATGTAAAATTGATTCTATTATGATGGTGCCATCCTACAACTTCCTAGGTACAACTAATTATTCTGAATCTGTGAAAAAAAATGTTTGCCCTGTCCAGAATAATGAACAGAGCTGTAGATGATTCTAGAGTGACTGATAAAGCTGTAGAACATTGAGAATGAAGTTCTAACAAAATTAACATCCAGAACATTTCATATTTGAAAACTAACAAGACATCACTGTAAATGTATAATTACAGAATATATTTTATTTTAAGAGGTTCTGTCTGTTCCCAAAAAATTAAATATTAAATAAATGTCTTAAAATACCTTCTGGTGTTGTTATTATTTAAAAGACAAGCGATCCAAACTTGAACAGTAGTGTAGATTAAAATTTAAAACGTTCTCTTGGTAAAAATGCTCTGATTCCAGATGTTCTGTTGTGACACATTCTTAACAGTTTGTTTAAGCATTTGTGTGTATATTGATGGTGAATCCTGAGGCTGTTAAATGGAGGTCCTTTATACTGAATGTTGTCATTTAACATCCTGTCTGTCTTCTGCTCCGCAGCTGTGTCTCTCGCACTGGCACTGAACGGCGTCTTCACAAACACCATCAAGTTGATAGTTGGCAGGTAATATATCGTGTCTGTCTGCCTTTCTGTTTGTATCAGCAATCAGTCACATTTTAAAGTGGGATCCTCACAGATGCTGTTTTTTCTGTATTTGAGTTACTTTACAGTATTTTTGGATCTACATGGTAAATATGAAGAAAGCTGTTAGGCGTTCTAATGATACCAAGACAGTCACTGTGTCAGGGATCGGCCTCCTGTCCTACTAGTACAACATTACAGAAAAAACACATGAATTTCAAACGTGAATAACGTGTTTTTAAGGACACATCACGTTATTTTTCACACGTGGAAAATGTGATCACGTGAAAAATGATTGATTTTGTGAAAAAAAGTGATCGCATGAAAAACATGATCACATGAAACAGTGTATTATTAAATGCAATTAAAACATGAGATCACATGAAAACATGATCACGTGAGAAAAAACGTGTGATCTCGTTATCAAATATGAAAAAAGATTATCACGTAAAAAAAGAATGTTAGAAAATGTAAAAAAAACATGCCATTAGCATAAAAAAGTATATGATCACGTGAAAAGTTATCAGATTTAAAAAAAGGTGATCACATGAATGTCTTGTCAGATATGAAAAAGCATGCACAAATTAGGAAAAACGTGTGATCGTATGTGGAAAACCTGTTCTCACGTGAAAAATGTGCAATCGTGTGAAAAATATATGATTATGTGAAAAAAAAAAAAATCACATGAAAAACATGATCATGTGAAACAGCGTATTATTGTTAATGTGATTAAAATGTGACCACATATGAAAACATGATCACGTGAGACAAAGCATGTGATCTCACGTTATCAAATATGAAAAAACATTTTTAAATGTGACAAACTTTACAAAATGTGAAAAAAACGTGCAATCAGATGTGAAAAAGCACATGATCATGTGAAAAAAGTTTGAAAAAACAGGTGATCGCATGTGAATAATGTCGTCAGATATGAAAAAGCGTCATCAGATTCAGAAAAATGAGCAATCGTGAAAAATATGATTATGTGAAAAAAACGTGATCACGTGAAAGCATGATCACGTGAGAAAAAGCATGTGATCTTGCGTTATCAAATATATAAAAAAATGTTATTAAAAGAGAAAAACCATGCTATCAGATGTAAAAAAAGTTATCATATGTGAAAAAAAACATGATCACGTGTCTAATGTCTTGTCAGATATGAAAAAGCATAATCAGATTCAGATATATGTGTGATCACACGTGAAAAACATGCAATCGTGTGAAAGAACACATGCTCGCATGTGGAAAACATATGATTACATGCCATTTCAATGCATAACGTGTCACATGACGACACATTACTCACATAATATTACACTTTACATGTGAAATATATGAGATTTTTCTGTAATCCAGACATCAGCAGCAGCAGCAGTGGTCAACAAACAAACAGAACAGCATTAGCACAGGCAAATCCATAATCTGAAAACACAAACATAGACAAAGGTCAAAGCTATAAACACACAGGAGCCAGAAGAATAGAGCTTAGAAACCCAGCATACAGCAAATTACAGACAAGACTACAGTTGAAATAATGAGTATTTGTCCCAGTCCCTGTGATTAGTGAGCTACAGGTGTGAGTAATGATCAGCAGGAAGTGCCGGGCAGAGCTAGAGCAGGTGTGGGTCAATACACAGTAGGAGAGCCAAAGTGTTTCCCCTCTGAGAGACTCCATCACGGTGTTAGTTCAAACCTTTTAGCTTTAAAATCTATGAAATCTGTTTGTTTTCGTATATTAACTTGAAGGGCCCATAGCCTATACACCGGTCAGCCATACCATTAAAACCACCTCCCTTGTTTCTACACTCATCGTCCATTTTATCAGCTCCACTTACTATATAGGTGCACTTTGTAGTTCTACAGTTACAGACTGTAGTCCATCTGTTTCTCTGATACTTTGTTAGCCCCCTTTTACTCTGTTCTTCAGTGGTCAGGACCCCCATGGACCCTCACAGAGCAGGTACTGTTTGGGTGGTGGATCATTCTCAGCACTGCAGTAACACTGAGGTGGTGGTGGTGTGTTAGTGTGTGTTGCGCTGGTACGAGTGGATCAGACACAGCAGTGCTGCTGGAGTTTTTAAACACTGTGTCCACTCACTGTCCACTCTATTAGACAGTCCACCTTGTAGATGTAAAGTCAGAGACGATAGCTCATCTGCTGCTGCACAGTTTCATCCTCTAGTCCTTCATCAGTGGTCACAGGACGCTGCCCACAGGACGCTGTTGGCTGGATATTGTGTCTGATCCACTCACACCAGCACAACACACACTAACACACCACCACCACATCAGTGTTACTGCAGTGCTGAGAATGATCCACCACCCAAATAGTACCTGCTCTGTGGGGGTCCATGGGGGTCCTGACCACTGAAGGACAGGGTGACAAAGTATGCAGAGAAACAGATGGACTACAGTCTGTAACTGTAGAACTACAAAGTGAAACTATATGGTCAGTGGAGCTGATGAGATGGAAAGTGACTGTAGAAACAAGAGAGGCAAGTAGATACATGGCTGATCACCCCCCCTCCCCCGAAATAAACATTTGAAAAATACAGTTAACAGCTTGAAAAACACTGACCACTGATGAAGGACTAGAGGATGACCAACACAAACTGTGCAGCAGCAGATGAGCTCTGACTTTACATCTACAAGGTGGGCTGACAGGGTAGGAGTGTCTAATAGAGTAGACAGTGAGTGGACACAGTGTTTAAAACTCCAGCAGCACTGCTGTGTCTGATCCACTCGTACCAGCACAACACACACTTACACACCACCACCACGTCAGTGTTACTGCAGTGCAGAGAATGATGATGGGGGTCCTGAGCACTGAAGAACAGGGTAAAAGGGGGCTAACAAAGTATCAGAGAAACAGATGGACTACAGTCTGTAACTGTAGAACTACAAAGTGCACCTATATAGTAAGTGGAGCTGATAAAATGGACAATGAGCGTAGAAACAAGGAGGTGGTCATAATGTTAGTCTGTCGTCTGTGGTTATCAGTCGTACATCATAGGTATAAGGAGAGTTCAGCCTGAAAAACTCCTTCAGCGCTTCGTTAACGTTCACCAGAACGGTGCGCACTTCTATAAACTCAGTGAACTCAAGCTTTGTCGTCTGTTGCTGTTTGCAGGCCAAGACCGGACTACTTCCATCGCTGCTTCCCTGATGGCCAGATGAATGCCAAAATGCTGTGCACAGGAGAGCCGGACATGGTATCCGAGGGCCGCAAGAGTTTTCCCAGCAGCCACTCCTCCTGTAAGTGTCCACTCACCACTGACTGAAGCATCACACAGCAGCTCCTGTTGAAGGATGAGGAGACTGGACTGCTCTACTGACACATGAATGTATTTATTCCTAAAGGAAACTCTTTTCAGAGGCCTCAGGAGGTCAGACAAACTTTCTCAGCCTTTCGGCTCTCAGTGTCCAACAGTTTTTGATATGATTGTTTACAGACGATGACTGAGTATCTGAGTTAGTCTGAGTCTCAAAACATTTTTCTTCAGGTTACAGACTGAATCTATAGGTCTCCCCAGGGGTTAAATTGGGCTGGTGGTTTATGTGAATGACAAATGTAGCTGAGCTTCATTTCTTCTCCAGTTTGATAGAAGTATAAGTTTCCAATACAGTCCTTGTGAAATCTGTTTATCAGGGATGGATGACCGTGAATTATGGCAGATGCAGATTCTGATTCTCTTAATTCAGTCTGAAGCTCACACTAGGTGGGCTGAATGAACACATGAAACACACTCAGACATTTCCAGACCTTTCTATCAGCCAAACTTCTAGTATAAACACCTGTACTTGCTCTTTAATGGGTCAGACCAGTATTATAAAGATGTAATGTAAAATCAGTTGCTTATTTAAATAACATGAACCAAATTCTTAAAACTCGTAAAACGGGCTGTTTGCTGATTGTGTGTTTTGATCGAAAATCTGCTGATTCCATTTGTGTATCCCAAACCCCTTAAATGTCCAGGGCCCACCGGCAGGCCCAAAGTTTTATTACACACTTTATAACCTAAGAATAGCTCAACCAGTTTGCATTCAAGTCCCAGTAGTTACTGAATAATAAGCCTTAGTATGTAATAAGCCTGGATTTTCTAACAGAAAAAAAAAAACTTCAAACAATTTTTTGATGAACACCCCTTAAAATTCTTCTCCATATTATTTCAAAGCCTTTAGGAAACAGGTCATAACTGAGGAACCTAATCGTCTGTTCATACAGTTTGCCTCTTTCATGTTTTTAGAAAAATGACTTAAGAAAAAAATCTTGTTCCATTAACTTCCATTCCATTTTTTCTGTCTTCCGTAAAGTTACCATTTTGAAGTTATGAGCTTTTGTCACGACAGCTGCGATATTTCAGCAGATGTTTTATTGCATATTTTTAGCTGCTGATGCCCAGTTTGAGTGTGATTTAGTAAATATTGTAGTTTGTAGTTCATGGACGCTGCATCAGAAGGCCTCTTAGAGCGAGTCTACATTAGTAAACGTCGTCATCTTACAGCGTGTAATGTTCACCTCTAATACTTTGGTAGAACGTGATAAAATAATGATGGTTGAGGAATGGTTTGTGTTAGTATTTGTCCGTAAGTGAGGGGTCGTTAGGGGTCATATCAATGTTATATATGTGACATTTTAAATATTAATATAGCAGCAAACAACTATTTTCAATGTAAAGACATAGTGGAGTGATGGAGTGATGAGCCGAGAATGAAATCACTCCCCCCTGTGTGGGTAATCCGACCTTCCCTGTGTTTTGTGGAACAGGAAACTACAAGCTGAGGCACCAAATTTAGTCTGAAATACTGCATTTTTTAAGGTGGAATGGGAAAATTTGGACAAGAAGCTGAGGTGCCCAAATGTAGTCTTAACTGCTGCACCTTTTAAGGTGGAACAGGAAAATTCGGACAAGAAACTGAGGCGCCTGAATGTAGTCTTAACTGCTGCAACTTTTAAGGTGGAGTGGGAAAATTCGGACAAGAAGCTGAGGCACCAAATGCACTCTTAACTGCTGCACCTTTTAAGGTGGAACGGGAAAATTCAAACAAGAAGTTGAGGTGCTTGAAGTCTTCACTGCTGCAAATTTTAAGGTGGAATGGGAAAATTCAAACAAGAAGTTGAGGTGCCCAAATGTAGTCTTAACTGCTGCACCTTTTAAGGTGGAACAGGAAAATTCGAACAAGAAGCTGAGGCACCGAATGTAGTCTTAACTGCTGCAAATTTTAAGGTGGAACGGGACAATTCGGACAAGAAGCTGAGGCGCTTGAAGTCTTAACTGCTGCAAATTTTAAGGTGGAATGGGAAAATTCAGACAAGAAGCTGAGGCGCCCGAATGTAGTCTTAACTGCTGCACCTTTTAAGGTGGAACAGGAAAATTCGGACTAGAAACTGAGGCACTAAATGGAGGGGTGTATTTGTTTTGCTGTTGAGCTCAAATATCAACAATCGTTCTCCAGAAGTGTTTAGTGCACCTCCAAGGCTGTTGTGCATCATTTTAAGATGAGCAACAGCTGTCCTGGAAAAGAAAATCCCTAAAAGAGTGTGGATTCTGGAAATGCTGCTTGTACATTCAGCTTATTTTACAGCTGTTTGTACTATTGATTTTCTATAACTGAAAAGAACATGTATTAATCCTGTCTCAGATGGCGGTTTTGGCAAACAGTCATGTGGCAAATGTTTGACAAACTGCTGTTTCCCATGAATTTAATTAAACAAGGCGATTAAAAAGAAACTGCTTAGACGAATTAGTCTGGCCGGGTAACAGTTTAATTTGTTGCCAGGGATTTAGGAGAAATAACAAACGTCTGTAAATATGCAAAACAAGTCATTTTCAAAATGAACAAGCCTCGCTCAGTCTCAGTGCAATTGAGCAATATTAAATCTGCTGTTTTAATCCGTTTGGGCGGATAGTTGGGCAGAACAGGTTGATGGAGAGCAGCGTCAGATTGAATTTAGAGATCAAACATTTGAACAAGGCGTTCCTGTGGGGGTCTCGACAGCAAGCCTGTGGTCTTGTTTGTTCTTGAAGAGGGCTCAATAATGTCTGATGATTTTATATAACCCGACCTTTTTGAAACGGGTGTGTTAGGCATCGTACTGAAGAGAGCTCAGGCAACAGTCACACTTTTACAGCATGTGATGTTCTATACAAGGCACCTCAGTGATAAAACAGTTTTAAGGCACCTAATTACATTATTTAAAACCATTTTTCTTGGCAATTAAGTGTTTTGCTTGTTACATCATCATATCTCATCAGAATAGATGCAAATAAACATAAATAGACTTCATTAACAAGAATTTCTGTTTTTGAAAATAGTAGTTGGCATCTTGTGAGCTAGTCTGAAGAACAAGCTTTGGTTCTAGATTTCTCCTGGGTGCTCAAACTACAAATAGCTACAAATAGCTCTCCAAGGGTTCTTTAATAAAGAGAGTGGTTCTGCATAGAACCATTTCATGCTTAAATGGTTCTTTGCATGTTAAAATGCCAAATGTAGTCTTGACTTCTGCACCTTTTATGGTGGAACAAGAAAATTCGAACAAGAAGCTGAGGCACCTGAATGTAGTCTTAATTGCCACACTTTTTAAGGTGGAACGGGAAAATTCAAACAAGAAGCTGAGGTGCCAAATGTAGTCTCAACTGCTGCGTCTTTTAAGGTGGAACGGGAAAATTTGAACAACAAGCTAAGGCACCAAATGAAGTCTCAACTACTGCATCTTTTAAGGTGGAACAGGAAAACTCGAACAACAAGCTGAGGCGCCAAATGAAGTCTCAACTGCTGCATCTTTTAAGGTGGAACGGGAAAATTCAAACAACAAGCTGAGGCGCCAAATGTAGTCTCAGCTGCTGCATCTTTTAAGGTGGAACGGGAAAATTGTTGTGAGCTAGTCTGAAGAACAAGCTTTGGTTCCAGATTTCTCCTTGGTGCTCAAACCAGGTACTGGATATACCTACCAATAACTACAAATGGCTCTTTAAGGGTTCTATAGTAAAGACAGTGGTTCTGCACAGAACCATTTCATGCTTCAATGGTTCTTTGCATGGTGAAATCATTCTTTCAGATTGATCTAGAATGTGTTGTATGGTTCCACATAGCACCAAAAAAGGTTCTATTGTTACAATGTCAAGCTGGTATACAATAGAAGAACTTTTGGAGCTATATAGAACCATACAACTCATTCTCCATCAATCTGAAGAACCATTTCACCATGCAAAGAACCATTTAAGCATGAAATGGTTCTATGAGTGTTCATGGTTCTATATAGAACCATTTTAGAACCATCTTTTTTAAGCGTGTAGGCTTCCGCAAGGAGAAGTTTGGAAATTGTCAGACAGTCACATTGACACACATAAAATCACTACTTTCATGGAGGTTAGGGAACCAGCTCTGTGACCGGAAGGTTGCCGGTTCGATCCCTTCAGCCCACAGGACATGACCGAAGTGCCCTTGAGCAAGGCACCTAACCCCCACCTGCTCGCCGGGTGCCATGGATAGGGCTGCCCACTGCTCCGGTCAGGTGTGCTCACTGCCCCCTGGTGTGTTTGTTCACTAGTGTGTATGTTTCACTGCACAGATGGGTTAAATGCGGAGGTCTAATTCCTCTGTGTGGAAACCCAGTTGGCCAATGGTTCTGAATTCTATTCTATTCTATGAGTAATGGCAGACGCACAAAGACTGGACGTTTAATATGCTGAGATTGAGATTCTCATAGAAAACTGTGTTACAGGAAGAACATTAGGTTTGAACAGATATTAGGAAATGCCCAGACTGTGTCTAGCGTTTTTCAAGTGTCCTGTCACAAGCCTGGACGGACTCTTAGAGAACTTGACTGAGCCGTTATCAGACTGGACGTGCAGGCCTGATTTTGAACTCTAGTGAGGTGACAGCGTGCAACAGTATGATTTTCAGGGCTCGCGAGGTGAAGTGAGACGAATACTAAATGCAGTTTTTCGCCATCGAGAGTCACGCTGAGGCATTTGTGCATTATTATGATGTACGACCGGCGCTGTATCATGTTGACTGGAGTGTAATGAATTTCTCCAGCTGTCCTACAGCCGGTGCATATGTTTCTAAAATCTCTGATCCACCTCAGTCCAGAGACAAAGACTTATTAAGACCTTAAACTGAACTTTGGAAGATTTCCCTTATTGTGTTTGAATGAGGACTCAATTGCATGACAAATGATTGATTAATAGAACATGCTTTCAAATCCACGTGAACAGGAAATCACAACACAATTCATTTCTATGTACCTG